TTTTTTTTTTTTTTTTTTTTCAACGTTTATTTATTTTTGGGACAGAGAGAGACAGAGCATGAACGGGGGAGGCGCAGAGAGAGAGGGAGACACAGAATCAGAAACAGGCTCCAGGCTCTGAGCCATCAGCCCAGAGCCTGACGCGGGGCTCGAACTCACGGATCGCGAGATCGTGACCTGGCTGAAGTCGGACGCTTAACCGACTGCGCCACCCAGGCGCCCCTCCCCTTAGTTTTTAAACGATAAACAAATAATCAAGGATGCTTGCTGACTTTTGTCAAGTACCTTTTCTTTTAAACATATTCTGTTAAAAAATTTTTTGACACATTGCTGGTGTGTGTTATATTCAGAGATTTCCTAATATGGTACAATCTCTGCATTTCTGGCATTATGATGATAATAACTAATATTTATTTAATGCTTACTATGTGCCAGAAACTGTGATGAATGCTTTCCATCGTGTTACTTTACTTAATCCTGTTGAAATCCCTGAGAGGTAGGTCTATTATTATTTGCACTATGTAGATGACGAACCTGAAACACAGAGAGTAAAGGTCTCTACTGGAGTACCACAGCTCGGAAATAAGTGGGCAGGCAGTCTGAATTCTGGGGCTCATGTTCATAGGCTCTCATTACAGTGCCACTCAAATGGACTGTGGTGGACCATTCTTTCAATGTATTGCTCAATCTGGGCCACTCATATTATCTTTAGGATTTTTTTTATCTTTATTGATAATTGAAATTTAACTATAGTTTTCTGTTATGGGACTATTTTTCTAAGTTTTTGAATTAGAGTTACACATATGAAAATGAAAAGTTTAGTTTTAATGACACTTTTTATAAGAAAATGGAAACCATTTTTGTAATGTTGTAACTATCTCTTCCTTTTTAAGAACTACCTGGTAAGTTGTCTAGCTTTGGAGACTTTCTTGGAAATAATTTTTAACATATGTTTGTTTGCTTCTTCCTCATTTATTGATGTACTCAAAATTTCTACTTCATGAGTAAGTTTGGGTCATTTGTGTTTTCCAAAGTCAGCCATCTCAATGAAATTTTCCAACTTATTATCATACAATGGAACATGACAATTTAATACTAAAACTCTCTAACTTATTCTACTTTCTCATTTTAATATTGTTTAAATATTTTCTTTTCCTTGATTTAACTTGGTAGATGTCTAATTTATTGATATATCTATTTATTGAATATATTATCTAAATTTTTCTTTTATTTTTAATTCATAATTTTGCCTTTAAAAATATTTGTTACTTCCTCCATCTTTCTTCAAGGTTGTAGTCTTATTGCATGTTTTAATATCTTGAGTTATATCCTTCTCTGATTATTTTTATCCCATATTTTTATTAATAATAAAATTATGTTTAGCTATGCACTTAGTCTAAAAGTTTTGACTTTGTTATTTATTTGACTTAATATTTATTTTAAATTATTTGAATTTATATATTATTTTTGAGTTTATTTTATTTTATTTTTTAATGTAAAAGGAATACCAGAAACTACCAGGCATATAGTATCATAAGCTATGACTTACCCTATTATCACTATTACCGTTATACTGTTACTAATTTTATGCCTTCATTTTCTATTACACAAAAGGTGGACCAAATTAGTAATTATTTGAGACTGGAAGAAAACAGAACTTGCTAACTTTTTTTGTTTGTTTGTTTTCTCATTTGTGTTTGTTTTTTGTCTTTTGCACTATCATAGATAGCAATCAGAATTAATTGGTTTCTTTTTTTCTGCTTTTTGCATTTATATTTTTTATATGAAATTTATTGTCAAATTGGTTCCCATACAACACCCAGTGCTCATCCCAACAGGTGCCCTCCTCAATGCCCATCACCCACCCTCCCCTCCCTCCCACCCCCCATCAACCCTCAGTTTATTTTCAGTCTTTAAGAGTCACTTATGGTTTG